TAAAGCAGCAACATATTCTAATATTGACTCGTTTGGTTGACGAGTCCTACTGTCAAATCTAGCTCGACATAAAAACTTTGATGGGGTAGGCGCATGGTGGTCTGTTAGCAATTTGCTCAGCTCGTTAAAGCTCTTGGTATCTGGACTAGCTGGTGCGCATAAGTCCTTTAGTAGCCTGAATTGTTGAGGCCCTATGACTGTTAACAAAACAGCTCTCTTTTTGGCTTCTATCGTCACGTCGTTTGCTTCTAGGTAAAAGCTTAACCTCTCTAGGTAATCTTGAATGATTTCATCATTCGCATCAAATTCTTTTATTTGGCCATACAGCGCCATAATTCTAGAAATAATTAGCTAATAAGCTCTAGCAAACCTCTTTTTTGCGTAAGTAGGTGCTCTTTCTAGTAGATGTTTATCCTTCGTCGCCAAATGACGTGGATTGTAATGACTGACGAGAAGCCGCGTTGGTTGTTAACAGTCTTTATTATGTACAGACGCCATGGTGCAAAGAGAGAGAGAGAAGTGGCCAGAGACCACTATATATAGACTAGCTGCATCCCGTGCTCCGCCACGGTAAATCATTTTTAAATGTACCAACTTTGGAACAGAACAAAACAAACAAAAACAACACAAACACAAAAAACACAACCACAAACACAACACAACCACAACACAACCACAACACAACCACAACACAACCACAACACAAACACAACACAACACAACCACAACACAACCACAACACAACCACAACACAACCACAACACAAACACAACACAACACAACTACAACACAACCACAACAAAAACACAACCACAACAAAAACACAACCACAACACAGCCACAACACAACCACAACACAAACCAAAAAACAACCACAATACAACCACAACACAACCACAACACAACCAAAAAAAAAAAACAACACAACCACAACATTAGAATCACCACCAAACAACACGCTTTTTAGGCGTCCGCGCCCAAAGAGACCCTTTCCAACATTAAAAATTTAAGTCACATAAATAGATCCTACTCCATAACTTACAATAAAACAATGCGATGCAAATGAATGTACGGCAAGTGGTGTTTACTTTTATGGTTCTAAGAAAACACATTGGCAATGTAATTAGAATTACCACCGAAAATCACGCTTTTCCCAGGCGTCCGCGCCCAGAGAGAGTCTTTCCACCATTCTCTATATTATAATTATAAAATTTCACCATCTGTTAGCACCAAAAAACAAAAACAAAAAATAGTGATTTTGAGAAATCATAGACTAATTAGAAAATAATATAAATAATCTTAACATTTTTCTCTTTTAATTATGAACCTTAACATAGACGAATCAATGCGGTAGTAATAAAAAAAAAGATTAACTTAAATTATTGTTGAGTTAAATATATTTTCAAATTACCTCCCTTGAAACAATTACCACAAAAAAAAAGTGGAATTAATTAGCTTTTTCGACCTACTTTTATGGAAATGTATCCATTTTTTCTAGGAATATAAACTAAAATGATATTTGACATTAATCTTTTTAATACGTTTTAGCAGTTTGCGTGTATTTAATATTTTCTTGACGTTATGCGAAAGAGTAAAAACCGTGGCAATTATAAAATAGCTCTATGCCGCTATATAAACAAACCCTACTCTATTACTTATAATAAGACACTGCGGTGCACTGAAAAGCACAGCGTGGTGCGCAGTTTAGTTTTATAGTCCCAAAATCTATAGCGATGACGGACGGAAGGACACGCTCAGCCCGATTATATTATAGACTAGCTGCATCCCGTGCTCCGCCACGGTAAATCTTTTTAAATGTACAACTTTGGAACCGAACAAAAACAAAAACACAGCACAAAAACAAACACAACACAACCACAACCACAACACAACCACATCGCAACCACAACACAACCACAACGCAACCACAACACAAACAAAACACAACCACAACACAACCACAACACAACAGCAACACAACCACAACACAACCACAACACAACCACAACACAACCACGACACAACCACAACACAACCACAAAACAACCACAACACAACCACATCGCAACCACATCGCAACCACAACACAAACAAAACACAACCACAACACAACCACAACACAACCACAACGCAACCACAACACAAACAAAACACAACCACAACACAACCACAACACAACACAACCACAACACAACCACAACACAACCACAACACAACCACAGCCACAACATTAGAATCACCACCAAACAACACGCTTATTTAGGCGTCCGCGCCCAAAGAGAGCCTTTATTTAGGTCACATAAATAGATTCTACTCCATAACTTACAATAAAACAATGCGATGCAAATAAATGTACGGCAAGTGGTGTTTACTTTTATGGTTCTAAGAAAACACATGGGTAATGTAATTAGAATCACCACCGAAAAACACGCTTTTCACAGGCGTCCGCGCCCAGAGAGAGAGAGCCTTTTCAGCATTCTCTATACTATAATTCTAAAATTTCACCATCTGTTAACACCGAAAAACAAAAACAAAAAATAGTGATATTGATAAATCATAGACTAATTAGAAAATAATATAAATAATCTTAACATTTTTCTATTTTACTTATGAACCTTAACATATAATAATCAATGTGGAAGTAATAAAAAAAATTAACTTAAATTATTGAGAGTGAGTTGAATATTAAAAAAAAACATTTTCCCATACGTCCGCGCTCAGAGAGAGCCGTTCCATTCTTCTCAAAAAGTCTAATTTCACCATCTGTTTTCATAACACCGAAAAACAAAAGCAAAAAGATAGTGATTTTTGAGAAATCATAGACTAATTAGAAAATAATAATAAATAATATAAATAATCTTAACATTTTTCTATTTTAATTATGAACCTTAACATATAATAATCAATGCGGTAGTAATAAAAACAAGTTAATTAAAAAAGTCTAGTGACATTTGTGCGCAATTTCCTTATGTTATCTAAAAATAGCTCTGACGTATAATGTTGGGGTGCGTTCAAGCTAGAAGAACAATCGGTTTGTAGGTGTTTATGTAATTTTAAAATTTGTGACCGAACGAGAGAATATTTTTGAAAACTTTCTTCGGCAATATTGTTCTAAATTATGACAGGAATCGATTGGTACATGTTTCAAGTCGCTAAGTGGTCTGGTTGCCGAGATATGGGCCAAAAACTGAATTTTTTCGAGGTTTTTTGGCTTTTCCGGGAAATACATGAAAGAAACCCGGAATTTTTATGGCCTATGCTCATTCTCGTAACTTGCTTAACATAATTGCTTTTGGAACTATTCATCGATATTGCTTCGTTGAGGAGGAGATACGACTTAAAGCCCGGACACACATTCATCCATCCATCCATCCATCCATTCCCAGAAATGACGAGTTAATAAACGCAATTCTCCAGAATGGAAATTGCGCTAAAAAATTAACTTAGATATTGATGAGTTAAATATATTTTCAAATTACCTCCCTTGCAAAAAAAATACCAAAAAAAAGTTGAATTAATTAGTTTTTTCGACCTAATTTCATGATAATATATCCATTTTTTTCTGGGAATATTAACGAAAACTATATTTGACATTGATCCTTTTAATATGTTTTAGCAATGTGCGTGTATTTAATATTCTCTTTACGTTATGCAAAATTGTACAAACAGTGGAAATTATAAAATAGCTCTTTGCCGCTATATAAACAAACCCTACTCTAATACATATAATAAGACACTGCGGTGCACTGAAAAGCACAGCGTGGTGCGCAGTTTACTTTTATAGTCCCAAAATCTATAGCGATGACGGACGGAAGGAAGGAAGGACACGCTCAGCCCGCTTATATTATAGATAACAACATGTAAGGGACATCACTCAAGATAACAATATAAATATAATACTAATACAGAGAGTGAGTTCCCTTGACCTCACAATTATTTCAATCTATTAGTAAAACAATCATTTATATATCATTTTTATATACTAATTTGCAGTAAATACCCATTGTTATGCTTTGGTGTGAACATAATATTTTTTTTTCTTTGAACACAGTGATGTTGAAGCATGGTTCAATTTGTGCTTTAGTAAAATATATAGAGGTTTACCTATGTTTTCAATTTCAAAACATTTTATTTTTCCCATTAAGAATCGTTCGTTGAATGCGCTTAGAAAGCTGATGGGGTTCGGTTCGCTTTTTGTTTTTACTTTTTTCTTCCTCCTTTCCTATCGTCACAAAAAGCCAGATATGCCCCACTCTTAAAATGACGTCACATTTCAGTCTACACCCCCTCAAATTTATGGTTTATATATTTTTTAAACATCGTCTTCTTTTTTTTAAAATTCCAAGCTTGGTCAACGTATTCATCAATTTCTTTTAAAATCTACAAAACCAGCATTTTAAAAACGCGAAGATAAAGACCAAAGGACAGTATAGCATTACTTTTTAAAATGCAAAAGTGCGTCGTCACACTTATTGACCCCTCCCCTTTCGTCACAAAATTCCGAACCCCTCCCTCTAAGAACTGTGACGTCGTATTTGGACGACCTCCATATACCTAATTTTAAGACTGAAAACAGTTTCCTAAACCTCTAATAACAATTTACAGTTAAATATTTTGTGTTAGCTGTTTAGGTAGGCCAACTAATAATTATTGTGTTGCTAATTTTAACGTGTGGATGTCCACATAGACCCAAACCCTCCCCTTTCCATCGCCATCACGTCCACAATCGGTTTTTTTTTCCGGACTTGACTTGTACCATAAATGAATAGGCCTATTTATTTTATAGTAATTTAATAGGCATTGGCCTACTATTTAGTTTCATAATGTGCATATTATTGTCCACAATCGGTTTTTTTCTCCGGGCTTGTACCGTAAATTAATATTTATTTTATAGTAATTTATAGGCATTGGCCTACTATTTGGTTTCATTTGGCATATTATTTAGTTTCTTTCGGAAAATTTACAATTATGGTTTTTATTTTCATTTCTAAAAAAGTAATTGGGTTTTTTCCTATGGTTATCGTATTTGTCTTACCCGAAAGAAAACAAAATGGTAGATGTAGACAAACTAGACCTGGATATTGAACTAGAATCTAGTTTATATCTAGATCTAGATGTGTAATTTAAGTTAGTATTACAATTCAAAGTATTGTATCTGTAATGTAAATTCACAAACCGGCAAATACATTTTAAAATCAACTAAGATTCTTAACTTGGAACTTCAAATATCGGTGAACTCAGTGTTCAGGTTCTGGTGTGGGTAAAACCTTAGTTTAGCGTCAGAAATTATCGGGTAATGTTTGTTGAGTTTCGGTAACTAGAGTTACGGTAAACCATGGTTTATTTGACCATTGAAATATAAATAAATTGAAAGTTGATTGTAGTAAATTAATGTTTTAATTTTTTAAGTTTAATCGACAAAAGGAAACAAGAATAAATATAATATTAGATTTTATTTTATTTAGTACATCTATAAATTAAAAAAACATATATTAATATAAATAATGAAGTCAAATGTAATAATTTAATGTTTTTGGCTTGCAGCGGATTTGCGACCATTAATTAATTAGATCTAGCTAGCTGCTAGGCCAAGTAAAAAAATCTAGATTACGAAACTAGTAAAAATTATTACAAAGATGTAAAAATGATTACAAAAAGAGTGACTGGAAACAGGGTTCGTACACTATTTTGAAAATGAAACAAGACCTTTGTAACCACACCATTATTTGTGCTTATAGTTATAGCTGAGAAACTTGGATGATATTTCGAGTCGTCCCTTTGAATCCCGGTCAGAACGCCCCCCCCCCCCCCCCCCCCCCAACAAGAAGAGACGGTGGAGGGCTCACTGTGAGGTCACAGTAGCCCTGTCTAATAGGTTATATCATGAACTGTACAGTAACTTCTATTCCCCCCTCCTCCCTCACCTAGCCAAACAGCACCGTCTACGTACTTGGGGTCACCGTGAGTTCATACAAGTTTAGATATCAGTGACCTTGGTTGCAATGAGGGGCGGGTTAGTCTAGCCCTAAACTTTTTCACGGTCAGTCAAGCAACAACAACAAAAAAGACAAGTCTTACACTCTTCCCCCCCCTCCCCCAACGACGTAGTAACTGAGAAATCAGGTTTCATCTGCGATACCCAGCGAAAAATGTCATACCACAGTCCAGACTTTTTAAAGTCGACTTTTTCCAGACTGTGTACGAACCCTGTTAAACAATGTTTAGTAGCAGAAATATTTAGAAATCTAGCTGAAACACTTAAAAATAACTAGTTATACAAAATGAGTAATAAAGCAGTATTTAACACGCAATTAAAATAAATCTATCCAAATTTTAAGCGTTCTGTATTAAAAATAAAAGATGACGCCAAATAACGTATGGTTTACAGTACTTCCGGTGAATTCCGGAAGTGTGTGACAGACTTTAGCATTGTTTTACTGTTTTTTACTGCTATACGATTCCGGAATAATAACCGACGCTAAACTAAGGTTTTACCCTGGTGTGTAGACTAGAGTGTACCGCACTGTGTACTGAACTGCGGGGCTTACTGACTGTCATTGTGTACTGTGTAAACTAGAGTAGTGTAGTAGATTAGTACTAGAATCTAGTAGACTCTAGTAGTGTAGTCTGTAGTGAAGTGTAAGTGTAAAGGAGTCGTGTTAGCTACAAACAAAACTAGGTTGCAGCTAGAGTAGGCAGAGATAGATTCTAGTTTCATTTTAAAACAACAAATTAAAATTGATCTAATTTAATAATTTAAAAAAAAATACTTTAAAATAGATCTAGATTCTAAATCTAGATCTAGATCTATACTATTTTAAACAGTTCTGAGAAAGACATGTCGATGATGAACCATATTTTGGATTCTTCTGATTTTATTCTTCTTGTTAATAAACATGGCCGGAAAAAAGACAGTAGTGGTGGTGTTGTTGGCTATGGCACTTCAAGCAAAGAACAATTTGAAGTTTTACCTGGTACATTACTCAGATTGATGGATGGCATCAATGGTAATGGAAACGTTGAGTTTTTTCTTGAAACGTGTGAACATGATAAACCCATTATTCTGAAATGTGTTCCTGGAGAGGTTGAAAATCTTAGTTCATTGAATTTTGAGTTACTAAAACCTATACCAAACTGTAAAGAAAGATTGGAAGTTTACACAGATAAAGACTGGCTAAATGATGGTAGGCGTTTAAAAATAAATGACAGTGTTTATGTAAAGCTTAAGCCAGAACAGAGTGAACTTGAAGGTGTTCTGAGATACAAGGGAACAGACCCTGAAAATAAAGGAATATATTTTGGTGTGGAGTTGAAGGTTTGTAACTTTTTAGCCTAAGTTTAGTTTGATCACACTGTACTTTAAACAATTAACTTATTTGTGAGACTTGTTTTGTTACACTTAGAAAGTAAGAAAAGTGTTGATAAAAGGCAAGACACAATTGAAATGGTAAAGTGGTAAAATGTAAGATGTGCAGGATGACTGTTAGCTGGATAACAGCTGTTCAATCATCTTCCATCTGGTAATAAGTGGGGGTGTCCCCACAATTTTTTCAGCACTTGAAATTTATCTCTGTTGCTAGACCTGCCAATTAGTGTTTACTTAGTCTGCCAACTTTGAACACCACTTCACAGCTGTTAAGTTTCTATTGTTCGTACTGCTGCTCCCCCAAGTATATTTCAAGTCTAATTAATCTAGAATAGATCTATATAAATATCTTCAATTTGACCTCACCTAAAATGGCAATGCCAATTTCCCTCCATGATATACTTGGCTGGCAAAACAAATGAAGATGAAATGTTAAGGATGTAATAAGAAATAATCTTATCTTTTTCCCTTCTGTGCCTAGGACATATGGGGCTGCCACAGAAAGCTCATTCTACTTTTGCTAACTCTGGCATGTTGCTTGTGACAGTTCCCCAAGATAGTCAGGTTCTTGTCAGTTGTTTTTTTGCTTTGCACATCTACATCTCCCTTGGCCTTCCCTGTTATTTTTTCCCTCCAGGCATTCAGTTCAATGCCAATTCTTGTGATATCATTTGATTTTATCCTTAAAATGTAGCCCATTCAGTGCCATCTTCTTTTTAAAATTACTTATGAAACTGCTTCAATTTCTCCTAGTAATCTATTTTTATAGATGGTGTTGAGAAATAGGTATTAATACTAGGTATTAAAAAAAACAAGGACATTATTATGAATGAACTGGTTGTTAGGTTGTATGTGAGTATGATGTTGATGAAGAAAATATTAGTGGATGATGTGAATGGGATGAGAACAATCACAACCAAAAGAAGCTTACAAAAAATGTAAAGGTTTCATAAATTACACTAGGCATGCTGCCCAGCTTCGCTTAGGCTTTCGAAAACATTGAGAATTTGAATGCTTAATTAATTCGCCCATATAAGGCACCGGTCAGTCGAGGTCAGTTTTGACCCCCTCATCGTAGACTTTTCAGCCAACCGGCCCCCGTGTTCTGTCGCCCCAAGGCAAGATCCTGCCAAATTTGAAGCGCCTGCGGCGCCGGGAAGTGCCCTATCGGGCACCCGACAACTTAGCTTTATAGATCATCTAGATCTAGAATCTCTAGATCTATATGATCTAGAATCTCTAGATCTAGATGATCTAGAATATCTAGATCTAGATCAATATCTAGATCTATAATCTCTAGATCTAGAATCCAAATAGATAAAATAATTTTTTTAAGTTTAGGCCGAGAAAATCCTATTGTATACATTTCAGAGCGTAAATAGCTCTGAATCATATTTGAATGAAATAGTTCATTTCTTATTATTCTAAACTCGGAAGATGACGTCATCAGTTTCGTGCTCCTTTTTTAGTGTAAACAATAAGCGACGTCATTGTTAAATGTGTTCTTGTCCCAAGTTTAAACACTTTTCCGGTTGCATAAATAATACTGTTTCTCTACATTCGAATACGCCTTTATTTTTTATTTTTCTTCTTTAAATAAAATTGTGATTATACATTTAAAACATCTAACATATTATTTTCAACAAAAGTCCGTATAAAGGTATCCATATATCGCTGCCGATTCTGACGTGATGTCCGGCGAAAATATTTTGCGGACAGAGAGAGAGAGAGAAGAGCGCACATGGCCTCTTATATATTAGGAATTTATTTGGAAATATCCAAAGTAAAAATGTTTTTTTTTTCGTTTTGACTCGTTTAAAAATTATGCAGAGTAACACAATTTTTATATTGAAATGATCACATAGTTGTAAAAAATAAACAAAAACAAAGATTGGTCTTTTTTGCTGACATCTTAGCCATGGAGCCCATAAAAAACTGAAATAAATATTACTGGTCAGATCTAGTTTTTAGACATACCATCTTTGGCCTGAATGCCATAAGTGTCCAAAATTCTTTTATCAACTATACCACTGACAAAGTATGGTTCTTGTCTAAGTGGTATCCTGAACCTTTGTACTTGCACATACTATTGTAGTAGTAATCAAAAATAAGAAAATAGAAGCAATATTACGATTTAGAAAGATTAACTACGTCTAGGACAAACACAAGTATTAACCTTAAGTTCAGTGAAAACACAACAAATGATGACACATAGTACAGATGAACTAGAGTTCATGTACCCCTCAGAACTAAGGGGACTCAGGGATGTTCTACCGGCTCAGATCTGAACTTGAGACTTTTGGAATAGTAGTCATGAGCCCTACTATCCAACCATGCCTTTAGCATACAAATGATGTTTAGATATTTTAAATTCAGGGTAAAAATTATAACATCATTAGCTGTCATCTATTCTTGGTTTCCTAATAATACCTTTGTTACTTAATAACTAATAAAACTATAAAATGATTAAAATATCAATTATACAATTTTGACTCACCCTGCCTTTAATTAATTTTACAATATGAAGTTAGCATTCTTAATTATTAATGATATGTCTCATGTTCTTCAGGAAAAGAAAGGGAACAGTGATGGTGAGTTTAAGAAATATAGGTTTTTTAACACTGGCCCAGATCATGCAGTTTTTGTTGCATTGCACAAAATAAGAAAAAGAAGAGAAGACTGGCACAAGAGCAGTCGACTGAGAGCAGATGAAGATGGTGAAGGATTATATCAGCAGCAAGAAACTGTCAAGTGTTCACTTCACATTGGTGAGCGCATTGTGTGGGTTAGTGATGATGGGCCTCAGAGGGGCACAGTCAGGTGGATTGGGTACTTGCCGGGAGAACGAGAGCGAAACATTACAGTCGGGGTTGAATTTGTAAGTAGGGTTGTCTTTCAACTTAAATTTGTTTTGTTAAGTTAGTTTTTAAGATTTTAATTTAATCTGAGAAACATTAATAATATAAGTGTTATTTGAAGTGGGTATTTGTGTGGAGGTTTTGACATTATTTCAATTTTTAATTTTAACAAACTTATGAATTTATATTTACATATGTAAGTTTTTCACTAATTGAAATAAAAAATTAACTTTAAACAAATTCAGGCATAAGTTCATTATTTAATCTGTAATCAATTCTTTTTGTGCTGTATTGTTTTAGAATGTTCCTTGTTCACTATGCATTCAGTTATACATTTATCTGAAACCAGGATAACCAAATAGGAACTGGGACTGGTAAATACAGAGACAAGAGGTTATTTTACACCAAACCAGGATTTGCTTCCCTCATTCCTTTAATAGGTTTGATAAAAGAAATAGAATTTGAGAACCCAGCAGGCAAGTCAATTGTTGTTTTTTAAGCTTAGTTACACATTTAAAAAGTCATCTCATAAGTGGCTAATGGATCATCACATAATTAATCATCATTGTATAAATACATTATTTACAATTTAATGACTACATTGTTTTGTACACATTGGAAGAAGTATATTATAGGAAACATGCATTGTGATTTTTTTCTACTAATAAGTCAGTTAAAAAGTTATGATTTTTAAATACAACAAAACAAATAATGTGCATGTTATCTATAGGTCCTACAGATATAACAGACATCACAGAACTGACGCATACATCACCAGAGTTTATTCAAGGTCAGAAGCAGATGCTAGAAGCATATGCCAACTCAAATTCGGCATCATCTTATGACAATAAGAGGTCACCCCATGACAAGTTTGCAGAGCCAATGGTATTTAACAAATATTCCTTGACTTCTATTGCTAATTCACCTTTATTAGAGTGAGATATAATTAGAAGCACATTCTTACGTCTTGGCTCCATCTTTTGTATTAGCTCCTTCTATTGTGTTGTTTGCCTCTTTAGTCTTGGTTACCTTTTTTTCGTTGGTTACTTCATTTGTCTGGGTTACCTTTTAGTATTTGTTTCCCCTTTGCCTTGGTTACCTTTTTTATCTTTGTTCCTTTTTAAGCCTTGCTTGACTTTTTTATCTTTGTTTCTTCTTTTGTCTTGGTTCCATTCTGTATTTGTTTGATGTTTTCGGAATGTTGCTCTTGTTGATATATCTTTTTAATATTGTCACCCATTCAACCTACCAAACATTTCATTCAATATTTCTTTCTGAACTGGAATCCACAGATCTACCATGTACATACATGTCACAATATTATCTTTAATTGTTATGCATAACATATTACACTTATTTGAGGAGACATGTAAAACCTGCTCATATTCATAAATTGCATCACCCCTATGCTTTGATTTGACACATCATACCAAAGTGATTTTTGCCTGTAAATTAGTCTAGCTTTATTTTGAGCAGTTTTACCATGCTTTTAACTGTGTAACTAACATCTCTAGCAGGTGAATCTGGGGCTGCCTGCCTATAATCAACATTACACTGAAAGTACTCACAATCAAGATATCCCTCTCTATGCTGTGGAAAGTAAACACAGGATAGGGGAGTCCTCTGGTCTTAACCCAATCTATGACTTGAAATTGCAAGGTGAGTCTGATCATCTTAGTTTTAGTTTCAAGGTTTTAAATTTTATAACAAAAATGAATGTAAAATAGAGCAGCATAAAAAAAATAAATTAGAAAGAAACTCAACAACCATTGTGTTCCTCACGCTTCTGTCAGACTAAACATTTCTTTTTAAAAGCACTAATAAACTGTAAAAGAAGTCTAGTTTATCTCAAAAGTCTCTTGTATGATATTAATAATTAAAACCAAAGGATTAGTCAGCATTCTTTTATTTTTAAACATTTTTTGTTGCATGGATGAAATGTGCTATGTCTTACTTCATTAGCTTAAATTTTTTATTATGAATTCGAGGAAATTCACTATATCCAGGCGTAAGTGGGTCACATAGTTCACACATCTAGTGTTCATATCTTTCCAGGTCTTAATCTGTTTCCTTGTTTGAATATTAGATAATTTACCATTTGGTAGAACCCATTTTGGATGTATTTAAATAGTCTATTGAGTTTAAATGTAAATGTAAGCTTGTATTCTTTTTTTTTTTTTGTGGCTGTTGGATGAATTAATTAAGAACAGCTGTAGAACAAACATTCATAGCAAACCAGTGGATAAATTTCTACCACATCACATTATTTATCAAGATGCATTACATCAGTTCATTTATTAACAATTTTTGTTGTGGGTATTTGAGGAAGTCTAGTTCAGCCTAGCGCACATTTATTAACAATTTTCTTGGTGGGTATTTTGCAGAAGAGTCAAGTTCAGGAACCAGGTCCTCTAACTCCTCCAGCTTTGGCCGGGGAAATGAACCGGATCCTGACCTTGCTGTGGGTTCTATGGTGGAGGTCCAGCTAAAAACACCTCTGTATGGTGTCATCAGATGGATTGGTAATATTGATGATCAGGGAAAACGCACAGCAGGATTAGAAATGGTAAGTATTTTAAGAACCAATAAATTATGATCCAAAAATGTTTCTGAAAAGACTCATATATTTTAGATTTATATTTTAAAAATTGTTTTATGACATTTAAAATTGAAAAATAAATTTTAAAATCATTAACTGATGCTATTTTTCTTGTTTTCCAGGAAGAAGAGCTGTCTGCTGGTACAGATGGAACCTATAGAGGTCAAAGGTTTTTTACTTGTGCACCTAAGAAAGCCCTGTTTATTCCATTATACAAGTGTAGTAAGGATAAAAGATTTCATACCTTACACAAGAGGACTCCATCCACAGGTATTGAAATCAATAACATTATAATAGATTTAATGTTGTTATTATCTTAAAGGACCTGTGTGTAACCTAAATGCTGTATTTCTATGTTAACTGACAAGATGTGAAGCTATTTTTCTTCTTGTATTAACTTTGACCAAAGCCCTAGTACTCACAGCAATACAGGCAGAAAAAAATATTTATACAACACTGTATTGCTTTGTTGTGGATTGTATAATACCAAATTTTCTCTGGTTTATTTGATTTAATAGATTTTGGTGGACCTCCCACTCCTGACCTACGTGGCGACATCCCCCCTCCCGAGTGCAATGTGGATCCTAAGATGTTTTGTGGGAAGAACAGGGGTATCCAAGGCCATCATAACTCCTGTTACCTGGACGCCACCTTGTTCTCCATGTTCTACTTCACCACAGTGTTTGATTTTATCTTCAACCGCCCCCCAGGTGAGGGGGACCTGCCTGAGTACACCAATGTACAGCAGGTACTGAAGGAAGGAATCGTCAATCCTCTAAGGAAGTAAGTAACAATTTTAGGATTTGATCATTTTTTTAAATGTATCTGTTGACTTTATTCAATTATTTTAGAATATTCATTTTAAAGTAATGGCGGTTTATGTGGACTAGACTGTAGATAAAGAATAGTCTGGTTTCTTTCTGACAAGTTTGTGTGTGGTCTGCATGCGAGATATTTTTAAGATCTTAAAAAAATCATTTTATGAATCTTCTGCTAACAGGATTGGGATATCCGCCTGTACAAATTGATAATACTTTCCTGTGGTTTTTTTTTTTTCATAATTTACTTGAAGGTATTAAATAGTTATGTCTATTGCCAATGCTTCGAATAAATTCCCTCTCTGTTGTCATGTTAAGACTTTTTGATGAAGTCTAAATTATTAAAACCTTTCTTGTATTCAGAAACTACTACGTGAGGGCAGATAAAGTATTAAAACTGAGAGAATTGTTAGATAAACTAGGAACTATCCCTGGAATGATGGGAGAGGAAAAAGGTCAGTAAAATTTTTTTATAAATTTAATTAATTCTATTTTGAAGATGTTGATTTTAAACTAGTTAGTAAAGCCTTTTGCCGATTCATGACATAGGTGGCCATTGGGAATTTTACTAGCATTACTTTATTCTGAGCTAGGATTTAAGTTGTTTTTTATTCACAGTTGATCATATTTATATTGTCATATTTACATCTTTTTGTTTTTATTTACTTGTTGATTTGCAGTCACTTAGCTTAATTTTTGTCAATATTTTTGTTAGTTGTATTTTGAAAAAAATGTCTGGCCTTTATTTTCTCAGATCCTGAAGAATTTCTTAGTTCCTTATTAACACAGATAATGAAAGCAGATCCACTTTTACATTTAAGGTATCAATTTAACTTCCAATTTAAAAAAAAAAATGTAATATTTAGCTTAGTTTCATTAAGCCATAAAACTGGCTGATATTTTCTGTTTAATTTTTTTTTGTTTTTGTTGTTCTAGTTCTGGTGAACACACTTATTTTTATCAGCTGTTTATGGAGAAGGATGAAAATCTTCTTCTTCCTACAACTCAAAAACTTGTAGAACTTTCATTTTTACAGGGCAACGTCAAGTTAAAAGAAGTAAGTAATACAAATGAGGGGAAGAAAATTAGAATATAATAGAAAAGAGAAATATTAAATAGGAATTCAAGAAGCAAATGAACAATTCAAATAAATGAAAATAAAATGTAAAGGTTATTTTGGAGACATATTGGAAGAAATTAAGATGTCAGATTCTATTACGTTTTTCTCTCTAATGAAGACATCAAAATGTTAATTGTTGTGTTTGATACTTGTATGGTTTTGATAATAACTTTTATTATGGTTTAATTGTTAATCCTCAAAGCAGTATTTTATAATTTTAACAGATGTTTAAGTAAGAATATTTTTGTATGTTTAAAGAAAAATATAAATCTCTCCACATTATTGTATTACTGTATAAGGATGTTTGATTTTTCTTAGCTTTAATTTTGTGACAAAATGCACAACAGTTTAGCATTAAAAAATTTGTATTACAGATACCATCATGCTTGATGATTCAAATGCCAAGATTTGGCAAAGATTATAAAATGTTTCACCGCATTGTTCCTAGTCTTCTTTTAGATATTACCCACATTCTTGAAAGTTGTAAGTATGATTCATAGCTTACATGCATGTTAAGGGCTCATACAGAATAATTTAGAGTGGTGGCTACTATGAGGACAAACTAAAATATTTATGAGGTTATAGATACTCGAATAAAAAAGATTATTACTAAAAACTGTATTATCATCTTTTCTCGTTTGTGCCCAAGACGTGGGGCATATGAAGTAGTGTTAATCTGTTTCAATGACCTCAGCATACAAGGTGATAGTTAGGTCAGTACCATACCCAGCGAGTTTTCCTAATGTGAGTCAGGTACCCATCAGAGCTGGGTAGACTCAGGAACATTCAACAGGGTTTCGAACTCGAGACTTGCAATGTGAAAACGGTTAAAATTGCAGTTACATATAAACTTAACTGGGCATCTTAATCTAAATTCCTCACCAGCTAACATTTAAAATATAGGACTCTTACTGTGATTGTATATCTAAAAAATTAGATCACTTAGGTTTCATTGACAAGAGTTATAAAAAAAACTTTGTCAATGTTAAAACTACTTTCACAAGTACCTTTATTCTCGTAAATGAATTGTTTTAAAACCTGTCCAGCTCCCAGGGATTGTATTGTATGTGGAGCTCTGGCCACCTATGAGTGTAAGAACTGCTATCAGGTTCAAGGGCCTGGTTTAAACAGCACAGCTTTTTGTGACCGGTGTGTCAAAACGGTGAGTTCAATGTAAATTTTATTTTTAGTCTGTTTACTGTTATAATCTGTGACCGGTGTGTCAAAGTGGTGAGTTCAATGTTAAAAAAAATTTTTTAGTCTGTTTACTGTTATAATCTGTGACAAGTGTGTAAAAATAATGAGCTTGTTGTAGCTTGGATTGGTCATACCACAATAACAATGACTTTTTTTTTCAATTATTATTGCTATATAAACTAAGCCGGCCTTACACTATGAACCCAGACTAACTCAGTGGTTTTGTACTTCTAAATTATCTACCTTTTGAACAACATTTACTATTATATTTTGAATAGTTTATTTGATGTTATTTCTCAGCAAGCTGTACATGTACTATGAACTTACAAATTGAAACAAAACATGTTTGTGAATATATTTCCTCCTCCAGTCTCACCAACATATGAGCCGACGTAATCACAAACCAGAGCCAATCGCCACTTCCCAGGATTTTTTATCTCACTATGAAGAAGAGCTACAGAAAGCTAAGCATGGGGATGAAGAAACCCACTGTATTACCCTGCCCAGGGAGACTATGGAGCTGTTTGCTGTCATCTGTATACAGACAAGCCACTATGTGTCTTTTGTCAAGTGTGGCTCTGGCAAGCAGGCGCCCTGGGTGTTCTTTGATTCCATGGCTGACAGAATGGGTGAGTTGTTTGATTCCATGGCTGACAGAATGGGTGAGTTGTTTGATTCTATGGCTGACAGAATGGGTGAGTTGTTTGATTTCATGGCTGGTAAAATGGGTGAGTTGTTTGATTCCATGGCTGGTAGAATGGGTGGGTTGTTTGATTTCATGGCTGGTAGAATGGGTGAGTTGTTTGATTCCATGGCTGGTAGAATGGGTGAGTTGTTTGATTTCATGGCTGGTAGAATGGGTGAGTTGTTTGATTCCATGGCTTGTAGAATGGGTGAGTTGTTTGATTTCATGGCTGGTAGAATGGGTGAGTTGTTTGATTCCATGGCTGACAGAATGGGTGAGTTGTTTGATTCCATGGCTGACAGAATGGGTGAGTTGTTTGATTCTATGGCTGACAGAATGGGTGAGTTGTTTGATTTCATGGCTGGTAAAATGGGTGAGTTGTTTGATTCCATGGCTGGTAGAATGGGTGAGTTGTTTGATTTCATGGCTGGTAGAATGGGTGAGTTGTTTGATTCCATGGCTGGTAGAATGGGTGAGTTGTTTGATTTCATGGCTGGTAGAATGGGTGAGTTGTTTGATTCCATGGCTTGTAGAATGGGTGAGTTGTTTGATTTCATGGCTGGTAGAATGGGTGAGTTGTTTGATTCCATGGCTGACAGAATGGGTGAGTTGTTTGATTCCATGGCTGACAGAATGGGTGAGTTGTTTGATTTCATGGCTGACAGAATGGGTGAGTTGTTTGATTCCATGGCTGGTAGAATGGGTGAGTTGTTTGATTCCATGGCTGGTAGAATGGGTGAGTTGTTTGATTCCATGGCTGACAGAATGGGTGAGTTGTTTGATTCCATGGCTGGTAGAATGGGTGAGTTGTTTGATTTCATGGCTGACAGAATGGGTGAGTTGTTTGATTCCATGGCTGGTAGAATGGGTGAGTTGTTTGATTTCATGGCTGACAGAATGGGTGAGTTGTTTGATTCCATGGCTGGTAGAATGGGTGAGTTGTTTGATTCCATGGCTGGTAGAATGGGTGAGTTGTTTGATTCCATGGCTGGTAGAATGGGTGAGTTGTTTGATTCCATGGCTGACAGAATGGGTGAGTTGTTTGATTCCATGGCTGGTAGAATGGGTGAGTTGTTTGATTCCATGGCTGGTAGAATGGGTGAGTTGTTTGATTCTATAACTGGTAGAAAGGGTGAGTTCTTTGATTCCATGGTTGATAGAATGGGTGAGTTCTTTGATTCCATGGCTAGTAGAATGGGTGAGTTGTTTGATTTCATGGCTGGTAGAATGGGTGAGTTGTTTGATTCCATGGCTGACAGAATGGGTGAGTTGTTTGATTTCATGGCTGGTAGAATGGGTGAGTTGTTTGGTTCCATGGCTGGTAGAATGGGTGAGTTGTTTGATTCCATGGCTGGTAGAATGGGTGAGTTGTTTGATTCCATGGCTGGTAGAATGGGTGAGTTCTTTGATTTCATGGCTGGTAGAATGGGTGAGTTGTTTGATTCCATGGCTGACAGAATGGGTGAGTTGTTTGATTCTATGGCTGGTAGAATGGGTGAGTTGTTTGATTCCATGGCTGGTAAAATGGGTGAGTTGTTTGATTCCATGGCTGGTAGAATGGGTGAGTTGTTTGATTCCATGGCTGACAGAATGGGTGAGTTGTTTGATTCCATGGCTGGTAGAATGGGTGAGTTGTTTGATTCCATGGCTGACAGAATGGGTGAGTTGTTTGATTTCATGGCTGGTAGAATGGGTGAGTTGTTTGATTCCATGGCTGGTAGAATGGGTGAGTTGTTTGATTCCATGGCTGGTAGAATGGGTGAGTTGTTTGATTCCATGGCTGGTAGAATGGGTGAGTCCTTTGATTTCATGGCTGGTAGAATGGGTGAGTTGTTTGATTCCATGGCTGACAGAATGGGTGAGTTGTTTGATTCTATGGCTGGTAGAATGGGTGAGTTGTTTGATTCCATGGCTGACAGAATGGGTGAGTTGTTTGATTCCATGGCTGGTAGAATGGGTGAGTTGTTTGATTCCATGGCTGGTAGAATGGGTGAGTTGTTTGATTCCATGGCTGGTAGAATGGGTGAGTTGTTTGATTCCATGGCTGGTAGAATGGGTGAGTTCTTTGATTCCATGGCTGGTAGAATGGGTGAGTTGTTTGATTCCATGGCTTGTAGAATTGGTGAGCTTGTACTTAGAAGATGAAGGCAGGTGTGCCCACTTACCTTGAAAGGTGCCAACTGATCAACTGAAACACAAAAATGGAGTAAAATTCACCCAGCAATATGTGTCATTTCTGACTCCCCATCCTCACACTATTGCAAAAATCCTAATAAGTTATAAGTTATGTTGTTTATGGACAAGCACCTTGATACTCTGTAAGGAAAATTTTTATTTCAACTGAAATGAAATTGAAACTTGTGTTTCCACTTTACCAGCCTGTTTTACTCTATGTAATTGTATTTTTTCCACCTGCAGGTGAGCAAGGAGGATACAACATCCCTGAGGTAACATTTGTACCTGAGCTATCCAACTGGCTGGATGAGAAGAACCTGCCCAACTTGTTGCAGATGGGTGATGATAAAAATTTGCCAGAGCACTTGCGTAGGATTCTGTGTGATGGGTATATGTGTATGTACCAGAGCACGGAGGTTATGATGTTTCAATGAACTGCATTTCAAAATTGATCTGAATAGCTTAATCAAACTGTTTTTTTAATGTAGGCCTAACTCTTTTTTTTTTCAAATATAAATTTGTTGTTTTAAATACTTTGTGAAGTTAATAATAATCTGCCTGCCTATTGTATTGTTATTATGGTTTATTTAATACAATTTGGTGCTTATTTTAAAGGTATTTTAATTGTGTTGTAACTGAGATTAAAATTAATAACAGAGCCAATGTGTGTGTCTTTGTTAGCAATAAGCCAAAACAAGTGCATAAAAGTTTTAAGAAAAGATGCTCTATTAATCGTGAAAACAATTAATTTACTAGGATTTTTAAAGAATTTCAAATCTTTGCTAAAACTTACCAAATGGTATAGTTAAAGTTTTAAATAAAAGTAATAACTAACAATTTTCTTGTACATCTTTTGTGCTTACCATTTCCATTGTTTGAATCAAAGTGCAGCTTCCAGTGTATATTATATGCAATGCATTGATCTTGTTGTAAGCTTATGTTGAACCTATTTTCTAGTGTGTGGTGGCACTAAGGTGTTTAATATTCTTTCTTTTATTATGAAATATTGTGTTGGGTGGATCGTTTTCTGTTGTACATTTGCTTGCTATATGCACAGGGTTTGTGAAATGTCAGGCTTATTTTAGTTATTGTTCCCTTGAGTAATCCATATTTTTATAAGTTTTTATTCAGTTCACAATTTGTTTTTTGTTTGTGAATTGTGGCAACCCTGTAACTAAATTTAAACCAATTTCTAATGCAGCAGTTTCATGCAAACTTTCCAGATTAATCTTCAATGACAATGCAAGAGTATCTATTTTGAATATAATTGGACAATAGATTAGTGATTAAAATTTAATTAAAACATTACTAAATTCAATAATTAAAGTGGAGATAACAAGTTAGCTTGATCAGTAAACAGACAATGTTGAACAGCTTGTCATGGCTGGTTGATTTCTTGCTCGAGAGTCGACCACGGACTAAGAAGGAGCAGATAATTGTCTTTTATGGATTGCAAGCTATTGGTTGGATTTTAAAGCAAATATTTTTAGTTTTAGCCTGTGTGGTGTTAGCTTCAATTATATTTATAATGAATGATAAAAAAGTGGAAAAAATATATATATAAACCGTAATAAAAAAGCATTTAAATGTAAGAAAAGAAAACAAGCTTGCTTTCTTTATTAAAAGCTTTAGTGTCTAAAAAACGTAAGAGGTCTCATGAGCGACTAAAGCTTTTATTAAAAAAACAAGTCTGTTTTTGTTTGTTTATTTTTATTGCATTTTAAAGCTTATCATTAAATAGGTTGTTTTTTTAATAAACATAGAGCACAGGTTCCATTGCTTTTTTGGTTTCTTGATTCTGTAGTTTCATCTGTGTTAGACATGATCTATGCTTAGGTGAAATGTCTTGTGCAATGTCTATGGAATGTGGAAGGTCTATAACAACCTGTTTTATTATTTTATTCAGTTTAGCCACAGCTTTTATGAGCAAAGCACTCAGATGCTGGCTAGTGATGAGCAGGATCTCAATGTGCAGATTGTGGTTAAATTGTTGGAGATGTTGTGCTTAAGCTTGTGTTGTTCTTTCGTTGTTTAGCCTCAGCTGGTTCTGACCTGTACGTTCTTGTACATCTGTTGTTTAGTGATTCTTGTGTGCAGAAATGAGGTAAGCTTGTGCCTAACCCCATCCATAGATGAATTTCTTAGATTACTTATTGTTGGTGAATGGGTTGTAAATAGTGTTCTGCTGTATGCAAATTATTTTACCCACTTTGTTGATTTATTTATAATATTAAATTTGCAAAAAAATATTAAAACGAAACAATAATGATACAAAGCCTTAACTGTAAACCAATTTTTAAAAAGCGTCTGTGCAATTACATAATAGACCTCTGTGATATGTTAATTTTGATGTACCAGTACTTAATAATGTAATTAATTTTGTATACTTGCATATTGTATATACTTTCTGCACTGTTTTTAAAGAGCTTTTAATATTCTTTAGTTCAAAACTTATTTTTCAACTATTATGTCATGATTCATATTTTGGCAATAAAAGAATTTCTAATTAATTTTTATCTAAATCTTTACAGATTTTGAATACAGTATAAGTATAATTCACATTATTTTGTCCCACTTTAACTAATATGTTTCATTCAAACTAAAATTTGGTGATGTTTTGTTTGCAAGTTTGGCCTATGGACAAAGATAAAAGCATGGGCAAGGCATCAAGTTAATAAACGCTTGTAAAAAATGTCGTTGGAAATAAACGAGCATGGGAAGTAAGTTTGACAAGCTCAAAAAGGTGGAACTGTTAGCAGACATAAAAAATTTTCTAGCATGTAACTTTTTAGTGTTACGTTCATGAACAGATTGCTGAACAAAATTTAAGTGTCCAGAGAAAAAACTAACACGTAAGATAAATGACATGAATTTATTACTATAAATGACAAGTTACAAATGCTTGTGGGAGTCTGTCATGTGAGCTGAATGCCCATTCAGAGTTGGTTAATGTAAATATTCTCAGATTTTTTGTTTGATTTTTTTCAGAATGTTGCTTTGTTCTATTGCAGCTTTCCGTTTCTTCTGTAAAAAAAATATGTAAATAATTTTCATTAAAATTTCCTAAATTAAAAAGATTATTAGCTTTGAAAATTAACATCATATCGATATGATTATAAAATAATAAGCTTGCATGAAAAAAATAATAATTTTAACTTTAAATAATTGCAATTAAGTTTATTTTAAACGCAACAAATCATGTCAAATCTTGAAAAGTCAATTGCAATCGTAAAACATTTTATGAAGATGTTGTAAGAAAAGATACAAACATTTGCAACAGATTCTTACACTTAAATAAAAGAAAGTAAATTTTTTTAGTCAAATGTTGCTTTCTGAGACACAGGTTGCCATCCCTAGGAAAAGTCTAATAACCATACAGATGTATGAAAATGTTAGCCCAGCTAAAATCGATGACTATGATAATCTTCAGGGTTGTGTGTTGCTAATAAAGAAAGATTCTCTGGGTTGTGTGTTGCTATGAAATGAAGATTCTCTGGGTGGTATGTAGCTGTCAGAGAAAGATTCGCTGGGTTTTATGTTACCATAAGAGGAAGATTCTCTGGGTTGTGTGTTGCTATGAGAGGAAGATTTCTTGTGTGTGGCTATAAAAGGATGATTCTCTGCATACTTACACTGTAAGACTAAATACTTACACTGGAAGACTAAATACTTACACTGGAAGATTAGCTGATTACTTAGACTAGAATACTATCAGAATACTTACACTGGGTGTTGAGGGAGTGCCAACAACATCAATGGTATCAGACAACAACTTCCTTTTAGCAGGTGATGTGGCCTGGCCATCTTGACTGCTCTCTCCCATGATATCATCCAAGGTGGGACTCAGGAGTTCTGTTTCTTTGGTTTGTGATGGCATCAAAAAGTTGGAGAATGTGCCACCATTCTAAAGCAAAATAATGTATGTGTGGACCATATGTCAATAGAAATATTTTTTTTTGTAATCTTGTTAAGCCTAATGAATTACTTACATTCAATATAAGAAATGAACAGCCTATATTTTAGTTTAAAAGCTTAGACCATTTAAAGATATTTAATTTCTTATAGGCAACAAAATATGCAATAAACTTAGGACAGCAAATTTAAAAAAACAACAACATAACAGCCATAATATTAGCTCATAAATATTTCAGTTATGATACTCTAAATTAATTTGCAAAAAATTACATTAAAATAAAATGTATTAATATTCATCTTCAACTTCTTTCTAATATTTAAGTCATTTAGAAAGCCCCATGTTCTTATGCCAAGAAAAATAGGCTAATAAATTATAAATATGAAATCTCTGACAGTTAATTACAGAATTGAATTGCCCATACCTTAGAAGACGTGAGTTGATCATGTCTGTGTTTCAGTGTCTGAAGTTCATATTCACATGTAGACATTGCCAGTTTGAGCTCATACAATAAAACTATGTCCTGGCGAAGTGTGTTGAACCCATTTACTATCTCTTCAGTTGGCATGGGGTTAAATTCTAAAAAAATAAAAACAAAAATATATAAAACTTGTCAATCAACAGCTTAAGAGAAAACAAACATTTTGTTTTTTTAATGATACAGTTCTTTCTTGTATAAAAATAATTGTAAAATTAAACATAATAAGAAAATTACAACTAACTTTTAAAATTGTAACTCACAAAGACCAAGAAATAAAAATAATTATTTTAATTAAACATAATAAGAAAATTACAAGCTTTACAAACTTTTAAAATTGTAACTCACCAAGACCAAGCTCTTCCAGCACTTGTTCAATTGCTTTTGTTTTCTTTTGCCCAATCGTGGCTGGCATCTTCATCTAAAAATGACAGAATGAAAATAATGCTACAAAAAAAAAAAACAACTGGAAGACAAGCAACAAGTATGCCACAGAATTCAAGACTAGGAAAAATGTTTTTTTTTTAAATAACAGAATTAGTAACAGACTTACTCTTTGACTCCTCAAACTGGTGCCAGAAGCTTTGAAGTCTGAGAATTTGATGCCACCAGGCTCAGGTGTTACCTTAGAGAAACATTTGTTTTATTTATCAGGCATAATTTTATAATTATATTTTATCATATCAAACCATCAAGAATAATATATATTTTTTGACAGATAAATATTCAGTTATCTGGCCAAGAGAGCATTTATCCCATAAGTTATTTCCCTTACCACTCCCCCTCCATCTTTGACTTTCATCTCTCTGGCTTGCAGTTTCTTCTTCGTGTTCTTCCGCTCTGCCTTGCGGTTGTCTGCATTACTGTCTGCCGCTGTGATCAGTTTCTGGAGGTCTTGCTGTTTCTTTTCTCTCTCTTTCTTTCTCAGCTCAATCTTCTTTAGCTCACCAATCAGATACTCCTCTTCCTCCACCTGTCAACCATCAAAAGAGACATATCAGAAATATACAAATACAAACAATCTAATACTTGCATGGGATTTGAGGTGAGTTGTAGAAGACATGATTTAAAAAAAAACTGAAAATGTTGGGTTTAAATCTAAATAAAAGCCAGGTTTTGATTCAGTTCCTTAGAACAATATCAGGGCCATGCAAATGTTATGCAGAGAGACTGCCAAATCAGGCTGGACTGTATTGAGCATAAACATCTAAATCAAAATACAAACTGAGGAGGCTGGTATGGTACAAAGATGTTGTATTTAAAAGAAATGCATCATGTTAAAAAAATTTAACAGTGGCCCTGAGCAACAAACTGTTCAGTACACATAGATTTTTGTCTGAAGTAAGGGAAAGAAAAAGGTGGTTAGGCATTTTATATGCCATGTGACACCTCCATATGTTACTGACCTGTTCCTGAGTTCTGTCAAACAACTTCATTAGCTGACACTTTCTTCTCCTCTCATGCTCAGCATCAAAAGCTTTGACCTTGGGCTCGGAACCAGATGGTGCTCGAACCTGGAACAAAAATCCCAACACATGAGAAGTTAAATCAGCATGTTGAAACAATAAATTGTGCCCATCATGACAATTTCTTTAAAAATTGTGTACAATCACATTGTGTTACAAGTATTATTATATATTGAACTCTTTCAACAAAATTAACATAAAATTAATATACAAATCATTAACAGACTAATAAGGCTTTACCTTGGCCAATGTGTTACATATATTATAATATCGTTCTTTCAAGTCCTCAACACTGTGGTCCTTGTATTTCTCCCGGTCCCAGCGATCATGGACAATGATAAAACGCACATCAAATCTCTTGCACAGCTCAAACAGGTGATCTGTTTCCTGCCGCGTCCAGTTGTCGTCATGTAAATGTTGCTGGTACTCCAGATCAGAGAAGATGGGGACGTCAACTGTCTGAATAGACAAACAATACAAGTTTTGATATAAAAGTGGTAGGTGGAGTGGTTGCCTAGACACATTATGTTGTGAAAGCACAGATATTTTTATACTGGTTAATTTCAGTATCGAACAAAATTCATGCTGAGGTTTTTTGTTAATGTTGAAGATAGCCGAGACTTTCAAAATTTGTTCAGATTTAGCAATGAGAAAACTATTGCTGTTAAGAATGGTTTGGAAAACTGAAAGGTTAAAAATGTAAAATTGTAAAGAAATATAAATGATGCTTTTAATAATAAAAAAGTCTGCATGTTAGATGATGAATTTTTTTTTTTGCCAAAATGCTTTTATATGTAGACATATATAAACTCTAAACTTACTGCATTTATTTTAAAATGCAGTTTCTTTCAACAAGCGTCATAAAAAAAATAATTAAAAACCTTATTGAATCTTGCAAAGGGATAGTCTTTGCCTTCATCTGCAGCCCGACCCCAATGATAAAATATTGCACCATCCTGTAATAATCAATAAACATTAGTGAAATTAAAAAACTCTTCACAGAGTTAAAAGGACACAGGTTTAATAGCAAAGAGGTAGATTTACCTAGTAAACCAAGACAAGTGAAGAACTTTTTTATTGACCACAACCTCAACATTTCAAATTAAATTACTTTTCCCAACCTTTCTGGCAGCGTTAGTAAAAGGCATCCATTTCCAAGGACGAACACGACTGCTGCCTATTTTGGCTTTCATCTGTTTGTAGCCTTGCTTAGAATCAGATGGTATTATAGGTGCTGCATCTCTGAAAAACAAAATATGAATATTAAATAGTGAAATTGTGCTAGTTTATAACTTTAAATAAGTAAATTGATTTGGGAATAAAGATTGGTTCAAGGAACAAACATTGGGCATGCTACTACAATATTTTAACAATGATAAACTTACGTTTGGTATCTGCTGTCAGTATGCAATAATCCCCACAGCTCTCTATGCATACCCTCTGGTCGCTTAATTCCCACATCTGACTTGCGAATTTTTTTCTATTGAAACAAAACCAAAAGGTAACATTCTTTTTAAAATGTATCCCACTAAATGTTATTTTCATTTTTTTTTTTTAATTGAAAAACAAAAACCAACATTCTATAGTAATATGAAGATCTCTAGGAACTAATACAATAATTTTTTACTGCAACAATTATAGGTTTTCTAAATTAAAAAAAAAATTCTGACTCTACTGTAAATTACAATCTAACTACAATAAAACCTTTAATTGCAAGAAAATTAAAGTATACAAATTATTCATAGAATTCTTTCCTTTTTGTGCTTTTATCATTGAAGTTACCTTTTTCCCTTCAGTCATTAAAGACTCCTTTGTCATAAAGTCTGTCTGCCCTTGGCCAGTGTCTAGTTCCAATATATCTCTCACATCTGTGCTGGTAGCCATCTATGCAGAGAATAAGTATTTTTAATAGCTGAATCAAAAATTAATAAAAATAAATTTCATTTTTTGAGCAATTATTAAAATTATTATAATATTATTAAACTGACTTAGACTCATAAATTGTATAACTGAAAGTATAATAAAAATTATAGTTATTACCTAATAACTTCATCAGTAAAGTTATAATAAAAATTACTGTTTAAAGTTTAAACTGTGTAAATCTATGAGTAAAATGTAAAAATAACAGGCTGGTAGGTAGAGAGTAGTGATGGCTTTTTTTTAGGTCAGGTCATAAGATTAGGCTTAGGCTAAATTAATTATTCCATAAGTGGGGTGAATTTTTATATCAGTGTCTGATAATAGAATCTTCTTTCAAAAAGGAGTGTTAGGTTACTGGTAGTTAACTAAATACACATGGCTGGCTAATGTCAATGCTAACCCAGTCCCTAACCATAACTCCAACCCTACCATACGCTTAACCCTAATTTCTAACCACAAAATTAGTCGAGATTACAAAATACTACTAACAACCCAACACATCTACTTTATGGAAGAGTCTATTATCGGACATCGGTATCCCGAATCATCCCACCTAAATAACTGAGACTAAGAGCCTATAGTTACTATAGTTAGTTAATAGTTACTAGTTAGCCTTTAATCTGTAGGACTCGAGTCTATTCAAGTCTAGTGGCTTTGTCTAAGCGGGACTAAGCGGCTTATGGGCTTAGTCTTTTTTTTTTAGTTTTGGAATCAGGCAGCTATCTATAGGATTTCCAAGTAGTTTGTTAGACTTAGTTAGTAGTTAAGTAGTAGATCTAGATCTAGTAGTAACTACTAACTAGTAAAGTATAAGTAGAGAAGTAAAGTTACAGTAAACTTTAAGTAAAGTAGTAGGTAAGTAGAGTAGTCTAGTAGTAGTACTAGTTAGTACAGTGAAGTAGTAGTAGGGCAAGTAGAAGTAGGGAAAGTTAAGTTAGGCAGTAGGGCTTTACTTTAAGTAGATTAAGTACTAAATCTATTTAAATTATTAATTTTTTTTACTACTAATGTATTATTATGGTTTTATACCTTATTAATCCGATTTGGTTTACACCGGACCAAAACAAAAAGAAACTTGTAAACCCGTTTCAAGTTTTTAAATGCTTAATAAATACAAAGTTTATACTTTTAATTTAAACTTACTGTTTAAAAAAAACAACAGCAAATTATGTGATAACTTTTATTATCTTGTTATTAATAATATTTATTAAATACCATAAGAGATATTAATTGAAAGAAATAATTTTAATCACTTGATAATATAGGTATTTAGTTAAAGTATTCGTTGTTTATTTCGTATGACTTGGATTTGCTTTTGTGAAGTTTAAGTAAGTGCAACATTATCGTATGTACTATGTAGATCTAGATCTAGTTACTAAGTTAGTATGTATGTACCTGTACTAGATATCTAGATCTAGATTTAGTAACAACTAGATTTATATCTAGATCTACCTAGCTCAGGGGTCGGCAACCTGCGGCTCGCGAGCCGCATGCGGCTCTTTTGATGTCAAGATGCGGCTCTCCAGCTCCGTGCACAAATATTAATTAATAGTTGTATTATTTTATTTTCAAAACTCATAACAAAATTAATAATTATACTGTAAAAAAACACAAGTTTAAACAGAAGGGAAAAAACTCATCAGAGAACAGAGAGAATATGTGCAGTAGAAAGTATTCAAAGTATACGGACGGCTAACAGTCACTTGGGCACCAGGTCCAGCACCACCGCCGTGCTGTAGCCAGCCCAGTGGCGACTATTCCATTCTTGCCACTGCCCAAGTGCCGACTTTTTCGAATACCATTAACGGGGAATGTTATTTTATTCAGAATGCATATCCCTATCTGTCAGTAATCATTAATTTGACGTGAGTGACGTAGTTTTTTAGTTATTAGCCATTAGCTCCCTACTGTTGAGCTGGGTACGAGTTTCCCTGCGTTCAGTGGCAGTGGGGTGTTAGATAAGCCTGGTGAGAAAGGAAGGACAGAAGTGACAGATACACGGCAATCAAACCGATATCTAAGCCAGTTAGATTGAGTTTGCCCTGTTGAGACCTGCCTGGCTAATGGGAGACACCCCCTGAGCCGGTGATGTCCGTATAGAAAAAAAAGAAAGTCAACTGCTTCTCAAGTGGATTGGGATCGTCCTATATTTTTGTTTTTTAATTAGATCTACTAATGTCATTATTCTGGTGAAATAAGTGTATGTTTTTATGTGAACAAATATTATTTCATATTTAAAGATATTTATTTTAAATAACAAATAAAATTTATTTACCTAACCCTAATCAAATGATAAAATATGAAAAAAAATGTTAGTGGCTCTTTAAAAACTGCGAAATTTTGAAAAGTGTAACATATGGCTCTTCCGTCTCAAAAGGTTGCCGACCCCTGACCTAACTAGCTACTAGATCTAGAATCTAGATCTAGCTGTTAACACTAACGTAACTAGCTAGGTAAAGTATTATAGTTACAGAGTATTATAGTAGATTCTACTTAACAGCTTAACTTAACAAAGTAACTACCAGCCTATACAATAAAAATCATACTAGGCCTATAGGCCTAAATAAATAATAAATATTAATAAAATATAAACGATGTAGAATGTAGAATTATAGGCCTAATGATATGTACTTAATACTTATGTACTAGATTTTTCTAGATCTAGATTATAACTAGAAACCAGATCTCTAGAGTCTAGATTTGGTAGATTGTATCCCCATCTCAGAGTCAGTCCTGAGTACAGGTTACTTATTTTATTACTTAGGCTTAGGCCTATTACTTAATTTAGATTTATAGAGCAGGCCTTACTAAAACTGGTGTAGTTAAAATATGATATGAAGATCACATCAGTCATTAATATACACACATTATTAGGCATATTTTCCAGATTAACTTGCTGCAATATATTTTGTGTCTCAAACCATTTAATTGCATTTAGCAATGTGAAAATTCAGACTTATCAGAATTGATTTAGTTTAACTCCTTTATCAAATTTTTTTTTCAGGTTGTAAACACAGAAATGAGTCAAGTGAGTGGCAGTACAGCTGTTAGATTCTGGAAGCCAGGTAACTTAAGCCATGTGTTAGAGATCGTTCATAAATGATATCAATCTCCTGGGGGGGGGGGGGGGGGTCCCGAAGTGTGATGTTTTTAGAAAGCAATGTTAAAAGCTGAATTTTTAGCCCTTATTTTTGCTTTTTTTAAGCTGTTTTTGTAAATTGTATAAAAATTAATATACTTTACTATATTGACCAAGCTCAGTCAATATTTTAGAAAGAAATTGAACTGCAATTTTGAGGGGGGGGGGGGGGGTTGGAGGCTGAGGTGTTACATCTTTTTTTTTTGAGGGGGGGGGGGGTCTGGGTTTTGTGATGATGTGTGATGGTGGGGAGGGGGGGGAGATAAAAATTGTCCAAAAAAGCATGACATCATTTATGAATGACCCCTAATCATAATTCATAATGTTCATCTAGTTTCAATACTAGGACTTACAGCTTATTGCTAGTTTAATATCTTGGGAAAATTATTAAATTCAGATTATTATTAAAATATTAAATACTGAAACATAGTTTTCAAGTTTGTTAGAAAGTGCAATAAAAAGGATTCTCTTTATTGTATTTTATGTTTGTAAACAATTAACAGTCTTAAGGAAAATGGAATGTTTCTTGTTAATAATTATTTTCCTAAATAATTTTTATAGGCACCTCAGGTCCCGGGCTGTCAAAGCTGTCAGAAGAAAGAACTATTAGCTCAGATGTTACCTCCCCTTGCATTGTCTACAACCCATATAAAAACTTGTCAATTGAACAACAAAGACAAAAGTTGCCAGTTTTTCAGGTCTTTTATTTAATGTCATTATTTTATAATATGATATAACATTTGGTTAGCCTTATAATGAATTTTTATTATTAGATGCATTAAATACTTTGAATGAAAGCACAATGGCGCAGGAGTGACTCCATACTTCAAAGTTAATTATTAACTACTTTTTTCTGGAACGGTGTATTCATGAGGGAGGGATCATGGCTGCTATCTCTAAAAATTCTTGAGTTTGGACTTCCTAAAAGATGAGGCTTGTTGGGCTGGGGATAGCAACCCATCTAAGAAAGAAAACTCCAATATCAAACGATTGCAGCTTTGTAGTTTGTTCTTGGATGGACCAAGGCTATGGAAGCAAATCCAAAAACGAAAAGAAAGCTGAATTCGGATTCAACAGTCTATATGTCGCATAACATGTTGACATGTAATACTTAATTGTGTTGGAGGAAATATCCTCCAATATTACAAAAGTACAAAGAAGAAGAAGATTCCTCTTTCTGATCAAAACAAATTACATTGAATTAGAAGTTAGAATACTGAATTGTTCATCTTATTCTTCTCTCAGTTATTGTGTCGCTCAATAGTTGCAAAAACCTTTTATGGAATGCAAATTAAATTTAATTTCTTAAATCAGTGGACTAAAAAATGGCTGTATTTTTTTCACTGAGTAAAATTTTGATTTTAATTTAAATGATTAGTAGTTCATGTTAGTTGCAAATATCTATTGGTATTTTTGGATTTGAAATAGTGAATGCTTGTGTTTGTTCTAATCACTTTTCTACTATATTACAGTATCGTAATCAAATTTTGTATCTGGCTGAAAAATATCAAACAGTCATCATCATCGGGGAAACTGGATGTGGCAAAAGTACACAGATACCTCAGGTAGAGGGCCATAAGTTAACGGTTCATTACATGTTAAAATTTTTAAATAATATGCCAAATGTTGCTAATTTTTAAATACATATTGTATATGTTAAACAATGCATGATTAAAATTTGGCACAAGTGCTAACTCTGGGCACTTTAACATTGTAGTACCTGTTGGAAGCTGGCTGGGCTACAGATGGACATGTGATTGGTGTGACACAGCCAAGGAGAGTGGCTGCAGTAACGGTAAGATGCTCTGTTCACATTCTTCACACAGTTTTATTGTATATGTGATGTATTGATTGCTCACATTCTTCACACAGTTTCATTGTATATGTGATGTATTTACTGTTTAGTTACATTCCTCAAACAATTTCACATTATATATGATGTATCGGATGTTCAGTTTGTATACTTATGAGCAGTTGCCAGTTACAAGAATTCCAATGCCAAACAAAGCTCTTATCTACCTATAACTCTTCTGTTCTAGCATGAAAGTGTTGATTTTTTTAAAAATAAAAATTTACTAATATTAAAAACCTCATACACCATGTGACAAAGTACTTTTTTTCTTTCATATTTAATATTTAAAAGATTTTTAATGTAGTTTTTAAAAATACATTTTTAGTAATACAGCATTGGTTTAATTATCTTAATTTTAAGTTTAAACTAATGTGATGAATTTTTAGTTTGTTTCTTTTAAACAGCCCAGATTATGCCCATAACTTCATGTTTTGTGTTGTTTGTAGCTGGCTGCTCGTATTGCAGAGGAGAAGGGAGTCATACTGGGTGATGAGATTGGCTACCTCATAAGGTTTGACAACAGCTATGATGAGGAGAAGACCAGAGTCAAGGTTTGTGTTTTGTTGATTAATTATTGATAGAAATCATTGTGATGCATCATTTTTTTCCTTTTTGTGTTCAAGACACATGGGGCCGCCACAGAAAGCTCCCTTCACTTTTGTGGGTCTTTATCAATTTTCCTGGTATCCCCCATGACAGTCCTGCCTCTGCCTGCTGCTTCCCAGCAGTACACCTTCATATCTCCCTTGCCTTCCCTGCTTTCATTTTCCTTGAGGCTTCCACTTTAGCACTATTCCTGCGATATCATATGGATTCAATCTTAGGACGTGCCCCATCAAGTGCCATCTTCATTTTTAGATTATTTTAGAAACTGCTTCCACTTCTCCTTTTATTGTGATACATAGTAGTTTAACTATATTTTTATGGAAAGGTCCATCACCCATATCAGTGCAGTGCGTGGAAAGGGAAGCTAAAACCTAGTGCAAATCAGGTCTAGTGATTGATATTATAAGACATGCTTACCTGTTGTAGTCTGCCAGGTTTATCACTGGAGCAGGTTATGTCCATAGGAGACAGAGATTATAACCAAAACTGTGATTCAGCTTCTATTATTATCCTCAGTTTTACAAATAGAGTAGAGCGATGCTCTGTTAACCACAGCAATGAGCATACATTCAGTTGTCCTTTAGATAAAATTAAATTTTTTTTCCCTATTTAACAAAAATCATTCTTCCCGCCGGCATAGGATGTCAGTAACTATATAAAAAAAATAACATTTACTAAATAAGTTGGATTCAGGCTCTGACCATGGCTGTAATTTTATTAGTTAGTGTGGCAACAACCTTATCTCTATACTCCATCAAATGAGTGAGAAGATTTAATATTTGCCTGTCTTTTATCAGCTGAAGAGGTTTGATGTTTTGACGTGGTACAGTAAAGTACCAGTTCTAAAGATTTTTTTCCCTTTTGTTCACCAGTTTATGACAGATGGCATGATGATCAGAGAGATAATGAAAGATCCTTTGTTACAAAAATATAGGTCAGTCTGGGGAGAAAATGTTTGCCTACAACTCCCGAACATACATGAGTAGACCATAATAAAGTGTTTAGAAAAAAATACTTTCTAAACCAGTGGTTCTTAACCTAGGCTTGATCGAACCCCATGGGTTTAGTGAGTCATTCACAGGGGTTCGGCAGAGGTCAAGACACACCAGACAGAATTCACTAACGGATTTTGTCAGTTCGGATGATTGAACTATTAAAAAGGGTTTAGTATATGCTATATGAAACTAGTGGGGTTCTGTACCTTTAAAATCTTAAGAACCATTGTTCTAAACTAATAGTTTGGGAATAATAGTTTATTTTTGAGATCTACTTACTTCTATGGCTAGATAAGCTATAGTCATGTTTTAATTTCTAGGGTTAAGATTATGGTTAGATCTTGGATGTTAGCTGTATTTTTTTGCACTCTACCAGTTTTAAAACTTATTGTACTATTTTTTCAGTGTCATACTTTTAGATGAAGCACATGAACGAGCCCTAAACACAGATATTATTTTAGGACTTTTAAGAAAGGTAAGCTACTCTGTTATGTTCTATTAACCCTTAAAGCTCTGTGCTCACACCTTTTTATTTCCCTTTCCCTATCTTATCATGTACAATTCAAGTTTTTTATTTCTGTTCCCTCATGCCCACATGACTTAATTTCCATACAAACACAAAACAAACTGATTTGTCTACCTAGCAAAAAAATCTCTATAGTATGGAAATGATCTAAATTAATTTTCAAAAAGTAGGTCCAGCTGTTAGGGTTAATTACAACTTTTTTTAATAAACTATTTTGTTGGGTACTATTTTATTTCAAAATTCAAACACCATATTACAATTAAAATTCTGTCTGTTTGTCTCTGCTTTAAAAGTTTCTTTTCTGCTCTTTTCAGTTTAATGTAACAAATTACTTTTTTTTAAAAGAATTCCAGCTGTATATGTGCTTGTTTTTAGCTCAACTTAAAAACTGACAAGCAATTTTATGAGGGTTTATTTTTTTATTTTTTAAAATTTCAGATCCAAAAGAAACGAAAAGACTTAAGACTAATTGTTGCTTCTGCAACATTAGATGCAGAGGTGAATACTCTTATTCTGATTGTTCATACAAATTCAAAGTAGAAAATAAAGATAAGATATCCTGGGTATTTTTTAGACAAGGGTAGAAAAAATTTTTCTTTGAAATTTGATCTTTTAGGTGATTTTTTTTTAAATTATGGAGCAGTATTTTTAATAAAATTCAGAGTATTTCAAGAATCAAAATATTTTTATTTTCAAAATCCCAGTATAAAGTATTGGTCGTTTTATAAGGATTATACAACTTTCACTTGAGATATAAAATGTTATTTTTTACATTTAATCACAGCTATATTAATCTTTCTAAATTTAATTTTTGAACAATAAAATTTCAGGAAATGAGAAATTTTTTTAACGACAATGACACAAGTGATCCTGAGTAAGTGATTGTCATCAATTTATCTCTATAGCTATTTAAAAAAATAGTTTTTACGTTTTGAAATTATTTTATTTCCTTAAATTAGTTACCATAGTCGGTACATTATGTATTGTCAAAGAAGCCTGACAAATATGTAGTTGTTGGTTTTGTTTCAAAGGTTAATGTTTTTAGTGATTGTATCTTTAGGAAAGACACAGCAGCCATAATGACAATAGAAGGCAGAGAGTTCCCAGTCGATATTCATTATACTTTAGAGTAAGTAATTTAATCATTTCAATTAAACGAGTATTGAAGCAAGACCCAACCAAAACAATTTATAATTAAATCTTCACATTTATGTGATGCATTATCTCCCCTAAATGACTAACCTTTCTGTAATTTTAAAAGTTCTTAGATTAAGTAGAAATTGAAACAACATTGTTTGCTTAAGATTTGATTTGTCTAATTAAATCTTCTCATTTATGTGATGCATTATCTCCCCTAAATTACTAACCTTTCTGTAATTTTAAAAGTTCTTAGATTAAGTAGAAATTGAAACAACATTGTTTGCTTAAGATTTGATTTGTCTAATTAAATCTTCTCATTTATGTGATGCATTATCTCCCCTAAATTACTAACCTTTCTGTAATTTTAAAAGATAAGTTGAAATTGAAACAACATTATTTACTCAAGATTTTATTTGTCTAAAACATGTCATGTATAATAGTTTTTAAAAAAATAATCAATCTGTAGCCCAGTCCCCAACTACATCAAAGCAGCCATAGAAACAGTCATGAAAATACACAGGAACGAACCACCCGGGGATATCATTGTGTTTTTTACTGGAATGGTGAGTGGGTACGGGGTAGGTTGGTAAAAAAAAAAGATAGTAATATTAACAATTCTAGTGAGGCCAGTAATTTTTTCTATTTTAAACCCGTTTCTAGCATTTACCACACTAATAAGAAACCGCAGAACAGAAATACAAATCTTGTTAGCATTTTTAAAAGAGACCAAAATACTAATTAATTGCCTGGAAATTCAACATTAAAACCAGTTTTAGATACTTTAACTTTGTCTTCAATACCATTATTCTTGTTTCCAGAACGAAGTGGAAGAGGCTGTGTATGAACTTATGTAAGTTTGTTTGTCAGTCACATTTCATGTCTGTTTTTATGTCAGTAACAAGTCATATTAATTTTATCTCTCACTCAGATGTCATATCAGTTGATCTGCCTTTCAGGTGTAATGTCACTTGGTGTCTCTTCTATGTCATGTCGATTCATATATCAGTCTCTTGTCATGTCAGTTGATCAGTCACTTACATTTACTCATCAGTCACCCTGTCAGTTAAGTCACCTTAATATTAGAATTAAAAACTCACAAAAACGCAGTAAAGTTTGTTTTTTCTCACTTAATTTGAAAATTGTGTCACTCAGTGGTGAGGCTCGTAAGATCAACAAAAACTCCATGAAAATGAGAGTTTTACCCATGCATGGGAGTTTACCTTCTGCTGAACAGGTGAGTAGTGGCTGAGTTAGGGGTGGGGCTAACTGGTCCTTGATTTTTAGGGCCCTTACAACTGTATCTAACAATGGGTAGCTAGTTTTCACTTCCCTCACATATTATCTAACTCACAGTCACTCTGCTACCATGTCTAAAGATAAACAGACTTTGATCCTAAATGTGTGGTCATTAATCACTTTTCTTCTTGCCAAACAAACTAGTAAATATGAGGGGCTCCCTCCCTCCCTTTTTTTACTTTCTCGTATATACGTAGTATAGAGAAAGTATTGTAATCGTGCAAAAAAAATAAATCACCTCACTGATATGGAAAAACATAATTTTACAATCTTGTCCGTATGTCTGTGTGTGTGTGTGTCTGTGTGTCTGTGTGTAAACACGATAACTTGAGTACCGTTACAGCTAGGTTGATGAAATTTCATATATAAGTATTATATCAAAATCGTAGATCCGTATCAACTTTTGAGCGATTTCCGACAACCGGAAGTGGTACTTTTTCTACTTTGAATTTTTCAAAAGCCTATAACTTGAGTACTATTTCAGATAGATAAATGAAATTTCACATGTAAGTAAAAGATCTAATTCTCTACCTTCTGTTAAATTTTGAGTAATTTCCGTTGACCGGAAGTAGTAATTTACGCTACTTCCGATTTCTCAAAAAACTAATGTAAATTTTTAAAGTACTAATAATATTGCGCACTATTATGCACATTTTGTTTCGGCGTTTGTTTGGTGCGCAATGTTTTTTTCTATGAGATTCTATTCTATTTTTAAAAGTTTAAGTAATTAAAAATCATGTCTACATTCCAAGTTATTTAAGAATATTCGAGAAAGTTTAGGGGAGATCACTCCCGGTTTATTTAAAGCTGATGTACCAAGTGCACCACCTATCAATGAAATTTTTTTTGTATCAGTTTATATTGTGTTACATTTATGAAAAAAGAACCATATCACTGGTAAAATTTGAACTTTCTTTTTTGTCTTTTTAGCAGGTCAATGTTTTATGACTTACACTTTTATGTCTGTTACCAGATGAAAATCTTTGAAAGGAGCCACAAAAACACCAGAAAAATTGTGGTGGCTACAAATATAGCTGAGACATCTTTGACAATACCAGGGATAACGTATGGTTAGTTGTTTTGTTCATATTGTCATTGACTTTCAAGTTTGTTTTTCTCTACAAAGAAAGTTTCCAGATCAATATTTTTGAAAAATCAACTCACTATTTTAAATGATCTAAATAGTTGCTGAAACAAACAAAAAATATTATTAATAATAAATTTCATAAATAAAGATATTTTTCGGCTTTTTAAAAAAAACAATTAGAACAGTGGTAGTTATAGGCCAGTACAATGTCGAGCAAGTCATTACTTTTCTCTTTGGATGTCAAGTACACCATCAGATGGTACAATTGCTTGTGAGCATTCCTTCCAAATGTGGCACCCCACTGTCATGTCTTATGTTGGTTTGTACCCATTAACTGATACCAGTGGATTCCAGGTGACCATTAGATCATACTAGGGCTTCTACCATAGCAAGTATCTATTAAATCTGGCTTCACTTCCGCCATGCTAACCACAGCCTGACAAGTCTGATCTCTGTCACATCAAATAGAGGAGTAAGCTCAAGAAATAAGTAAATCTACAGCAGTTAGATGCTGGAGACATTTTTAAAATGTAGGGAATCAGACAAATCCAATGTCATATATAAACTGCACTCAGCAAGATCACCCATACTATTTTTCTAAGAGTGTGGTTGTTCTGTGTGTGTGGTTTTCTGTGTGTGTGGTGTTCTGGAATCATGGTCAAGAGATCATCGTTTATTGCTAGGTGTAGTATATTTGTAGTATATTTTCTGTATACATTGCAGGTTGTTTTTGTTGTTGTTTTGCTTCATTTATACATTAACTTTTGTTTATCACCAGTGGTTGATGCTGGCTTTGTTAAACTGAAGGCGTACAACCCAAAGTCTGGAATAGGTTAGTCAGCTTTTAATTTTGTTTTCTTACCTTTTAATGCTGTGAAATCTGGCTTATTTTTTTATATCATTAAATTGTTGATATGTGTAAGTACTATAATTCTACATTTGTCCCCTTACATTAATTACTCTCTTAAACATCATTACATTAATGTATCTACATCTCTTTACTTAATCTGCCCCTACACCAGAGGCGTATAGAGGATGGGGGACATATGTCCCCAGGCGCCGACCTTAGGGGGGGCGCCAAATTGAAAGTTTGAGGGGGGGATTGCAAATCGAAAGTTTGAGGGGGGTGCAAATGAAAAGTTCGAGGTGGGGGTGCAAATCAAAAGTTTGTCCCCGGGCGACGGGAAGGGTTGCTACGCCTCTGCCCTACACTTCCTTACCTTTTTGTACACACCCTTACCTTATGTGTCCACATGAAGAGAGCCTGGTGATTGTTCCTGTGTCCCAGGCATCAGCCAACCAACGAGCTGGGAGAGCTGGACGTGTTAGAGCAGGAAAGGCATACAGACTGTACACAGGTTGTTTGTTTTAAATAGTTTTACAACAAAGGTTCTTTTTAATAGAGTACACTTTATTTGAAAGGCATACAGACTGTACACAGGTTGTTTGTTTTAAATAGTTTTACAACAAAGGTTCTTTTTAATAGAGTACACTTTATTTGAAAGGCATACAGACTATACACAGATTGTTTGTTTTAATACTTTTACACGGGCATTTTTTAATAGAGTGCTCATGGTTCTTTAAAAGATAGAATTTGTACACAGTATTTGAAATGTATTGTAGCCTACACAAGTTTTTAACATTTTAGACACATTTTAAAAAAAAATAGCCCAGAGGTTTTTTTTTAATAGAGTGTTATGGTTTTTTAAAAAAAGAAACAGTATTTGAAATAGAATGTAGCCTGCACAAGTTTTTAAGATTGTAGACACATTTAAAAAATAGATTACTCAGAGGATTTTTAAATAGTGTACATGTTATTTTAAATAGCTTGTTCACAGTTGTTGTTTTTTTTAAAATTGACTGTAGGCCTACACTTTTTAAATAATAGCTGTTACACATTTGTATGATAAAGAAATGTATCCAGCTGAAGAGCACTCAGCTTTATTATGAATTTTTAAATTTCTTTTTGCAGAAGAGTCGTTTGAAAAGTTGCCACTGTCCACCACACCAGAAATGCAGCGTTCTGATCTAGCACCAGTTATCCTGCAGCTCAAGGCACTGGGTGTCGCCAATGTCTTAAGATTTCATTTTTTATCAGTAAGGCAAGATATCATAATAGATTTTTAAAATTTTTATATTTTAATAATAAATCTTTTAATGTAATTTAAAATTTAAAATATTTAAATTAGAAATTAAAATGTAAATAAAGAAAAGCTAAAATAACATGTTAAAAGAAGTTGTTTTTTGACTGCACCTCAAAAATTAACTATCCTATTGACTATTTGAACCATGAGGATCTTAATAATAGCTGTTTTATTGCTGTACATTCTATCACATATACTCTTCAACCCTTGAGTCTAGACATATCAGTGATTTTTTTCTTTTTTTCAGCCACCACCTGCCCAAAACATGGTCAGAGGTCTGGAACTGTTGTATGCTTTAGGAGGTAATCATTTACTCAATGTCATTGTACTGGAGCCTGTGTTATATGTTAGCCAATACATTATAGAATGTTAGGTTTTTAAAATTATAGAATGTTAGGTTTTAGAAATAATATAATGTTAGGTTTTAAAAGTTATAGAATGTTAGGTTTTAGAAATTGTATAATGTCAGGTTTAAGAAATTATAGAATGTCAGGTTGTTAAAAGTGTAGAATTTTAGGTGTTAAAAAATTATTGAATTTTAGATTTGATATGCCATGTTGCACAGCCATATCAGTTCATGCCTGTTTTAAATAGTTGTAGAGTTCGCTTTCCTAGTCTGCACTTCATAAAGTCAAATTTAATAGCTATGTCATTCTGGAGCTCATATGACCAGTGAAATAGGCTTTTTGACTGGATTTACTTCTATCCAACTATTGCTGGGTACATACTGGAGCTGGATGAGCTCAGGGACTTAAAGTATTCTAGCATGACCAGAATTTGAATCTATAGTATGTGATTACATTCTCCACCCACAACATCATGTTTGTGTCCTCCAGCTCTAGATGATGCTGGGAACCTGACCTCACCCCTGGGACTACAGATGGTGGAGTTTCCTTTGTCCCCACAGTTTGCAAAGGTGCTCCTGTCTTCAGGTGAGTCAAATCTTCTTCTGTACCTGTTCTTCTCTCTTCTCATGCACTCTGTGTGTATAGTCAGCAATGGTCTATTTCGGTCAACACTCACTTTCAAGATTTTATTATTTTCTAACATTGTTTATTTATCCATTCTAAATTTATATGAACAGTATCCTATATACTCTTTGTACTCTGCCAATACATTTGTATTGTATGCTGCTTATTATTAACTAGAAATTACAAATATTTTATTTGACTTTCGCCATTAAAGAAAACAATATCACGGAAAAAAGTTTCCATGATGTCAAACAATTATAGGCAAAAGTTTCCGTTCATCTGACCTCTTGTGTATAAGGATGTATGTTAGGGCAGTGTGGGGTATCACCTTTTAATACCACTAGCAAACACTGTGAGGGTTCCACTAATGATGTACCCTCTTGAATGTTATTACTTAGCCATGAATAGGGTTGAATGAACTTGACAGAATACTTAGTAAATTTCTACTTCAGGTTTATTTACACTGCTAATGTCATCATCTCAGTAGATGATTAAAATAGTCATTGACAGGACACAAATTCCTTCTCCTATCACAAGCTTAAATTTAACTAACTCTCTTTCACTCAACAGCAACAGTTATTTTTACATAAAATTTCACTCTTTTATACGTGTCATACTTAAGAACATTCAATATTCTTGCACCAACATTCATTCACACCTAATTAATCTCGTACACATAACTCATAACAATGTCCTTGTTTTTAATGGACCATATTGTGTTTTGATCTATAGTAAATACTTTTAGATTTTCACAATAACAGTAAATCAGAAGATCATTTTAATATTGCTGTGTAAATAGCTTTAAAGACTAGAAAGAAATATTTATTTTTGTTTAGAGAAGTTTGGCTGCTCAGAAGAAGCCATCATTGTCTGCTCAATGACTCAGATCCAGAATGTGTTTATCACCCCATCAGATAAAAAACTTGCAGCAGTAAGTACAAAATACATTTTTTGTTTCCTCTGAAAAGTGTTAGAACATTATTCTAGTTCACCCACATAACCAAAAAGCTAGCTACTGATTGTCATTGTAAAATATCACTCTAAGCCAAGGGTCTCCAAACTACGGCCCGCGGGCTGGATGCGGCCCTCGAAGTCCTCTCATCCAGCCCACGGAGATTTTTGTCCCAGGAAAAATCGTCTGTTGGTGATGGCTGAGGAACTTTGCCCAGAAAAATCAAAGACATGCCTCGAAGAAACTGGCCCCCGAACTGAAATTTGATAGTTAATGCGGCCCTCGAACTGAAAAGTTTGGAGACCCCTGCTCTAAGCTAAGAATGATAGCCTCTTAGAAGAAAAAACAAAAAGATTTTGGGGATAGTTTTAAAGAAATTTTGCAGTCTTGTGTCTATTAAGTTTAAAAGCCTTTTAGAGAACAGCATATAAAAAGTTATACCAAGTAATTGATAAGGAACTCATGATGTATTCTAGAATCCTCTACTTCCTAGTTCTGTATATGTTAATTTCATGGGAAAAACAATTTCCTTCTGACTTTTACGTCAAATTCTGTATATGTTCTTTTTAGTGACAGAGAAACAAATTCCATGCTATAAGCTTTGAAACCGTCATTCTGTATACCATAATTTCAGGAGAAAGAAAAACAAATTCTATGCTATAAGCCTTTCTATGTTCTGTATACCATAATTTCAGGAGAAAGAAAAACAAATTCTATGCTATAAGCCTTTAAGTCTATGTTCTGTATACCATAATTTCAGGAGAAAGAAAAACAAATTCTATGCTATAAGCCATTAAGTCTATGTTCTGTATACCATAATTTCAAGAGAAAGAAAAACAAATTAATTTCTATGCTATAAGCCTTTAAGTCTATGTTCTGTATACCATAATTTCAAGAGAAAGAAAAACATGATCTATGCTATAAGCCAGGGGTCGGCAACCTGTGGCTCGCGAGCCGCATGCGGCTCTTTTGATATCAAGATGCAGCTCTCCAGCTCCTTAAACAAATACTAATAATCTTAATAAAAAAATAAAATATTTGAAATTAAAAAAATGTTAGTGGCTCTTTAAAACCAGGGAAATTTTGAAAATTGTAACTTTTGGCTCTTCCGCTTCAAAAGGTTGCCAACCCTTACTATAAGCCATTAAGTCTATGTTCTGTATACCATAATTTCAGGAAAAAGAAAAACACATTCTATGCTATAAGCCTTTAAGTCTATGTTCTGTATACCATAATTTCAGGAGAAAGAAAAACATGATCTATGCTATAAGCCTTTAAGTGTATGTTCTGTATACCATAATTTCAGGAGAAAGACAAACACAAGTTCTCAGTGCTGGAGGGAGACCACTTGACTCTGGTCAATGTTTACAAAGCTTTCATCAAGGTAAATTTTCATTGTCACTCAACATAATGCTATCCTACAGGGCCCAAGTTTGGATTAAAATCTTGCGTACCTGCTGGGCCTCTGGATAGATATTTACATACATTTGATGACAAAAAACGTGGGTACGTTCACCATCAAATTTCCCGACCCATCTGCCCGACCCACGTTTTTTGTCATCAAATGTATGAAAATTTATTTTCTACTTTTTAGTCCACAAGAAAAACGTGGTTTTTTAAAAAGTTTTTTTTAAGTATTTTATTTTCTCCTTTGTAGTCCGTTGCTACACATGAAAAATGTGGTTTTTTAAAAGTTTTTTATATAGTTTATTTTCTACTTTATCTAATCACTTGATTAAGTATGACTTGACTAAGTGTTTTTAAATACACGGACTAAAAAAATCTTGAGCGACCGATACGCTTTAAACAGAGAAAGGGTGTAATTTACGTTGCTGGCGTGGAGATCTACTCACGAATCACGTGATCAAATCTCCCATAAACAAACAAATAAACGCGAAGCTGAGTTAAGGAAAAACGTGTTTATGTGTATTTTAGCATGCCCAGCGTACCAACCGTGTCACCGTTAACAATGTGTTACCGTGTCCGTTCTCCTTTTTAGTCCGTTGCTACACATAAAAAACGTGGTTTTTTAAAAAGTTTTTTTTAAGTATTTTATTTTCTCCTTTTTAGTCCGTTGCTACACATGAAAAACGTGGTTTTTAAAAAAAGTGTTTATAAATACACGGACTAAAAATCTTGAGCGACCAGGATTCGAACCTGGGTTGTCACGGCCACAACGAGAAGTACTAACCACTATACGATCACGGCCAGCGCGCTCACATCGATTGGGGCCGAAGTAACTGTGTCAATAGGCCTCAAGTCTTGTCGGTATCTTTAGAAATCATGTCCTCAATTTTATGGTCCTTGGGGCGTAATTAAATTAAGCTAATTACGGTCACTAATTGCTAGTTTTTATGATTGCATCTGAAATTGTTAGGCGAAAGTAGCATGCATGCCAAATTTCAGGTCTCTAGAGCAATCAGAAGTGGGCTAATTTTCGATGTCAATTTTAACAACAAACATCCAAACAAACAAACAAACGCGAAGCTGAGTTAAGAAAAACGTTTTAAAAAGTACCAAAAACAAAAATTATGTAGAAAGGCCAGTGTTCTATTGTCACATAGACTGTTAGGTCTCTGTGTATTTTCCTGTTGTTGTTTTTAATTTTCAAAAAGTAAAAAGTATCTAAAATCTCAATGATGTAGAATGGCCAGAGCTCTCGCTGGTGTCATGACCACTGCCTCAACTACAAGGGACTGAATCGAGCAGTGGAGATCAGCAACCAACTGGGGAGGCTGCTGACCAAGTTCAAGGTCAAGATGCTGTCCTGCAATGGTAAGTCTGTAAACATTTTTTCTCTAACTCTCTGAGCAGTTTTCACACCTCAACTTATTCTCAGATAAGATAATCTGCCAAGCTATTTTTAGTCTTTGTTACATTTAACATGAACATTACAAGACCCCAAGCTATTTTAGCCTTTGTTACATTTAACATGAACATTACAAGACTCCAAGCTATTTTAGCCTTTGTTACATTTAACATGAACATTACAAGACTCCAAGCTATTTTAGCCTTTGTTACATTTAACATGAACATTACAAGACTCCAAGCTATTTTAGCCTTTGATACATTTAACATGAACATTACAAGACCCCAAGCTATTTTTAGCCTTTGTTACATTTGACATGAACATTACAAGACCCCAAGCTATTTTTAGCCTATGTTACATTTGACATGAACATTACAAGACCCCAAGCTATTTTTAGCCTTTGTTACATTTAACATGAACATTACAAGACCCCAAGCTATTTTTAGCCTTTGTTACATTTAACATGAACATTACAAGACCCCAAGCTATTTTAGCCTTTGTTACATTTGACATGAACATTACAAGACCCCAAGCTATTTTTAGCCTTTGTTACATTTGACATGAACATTACAAGACCCCAAGCTATTTTAGCCTTTGTTACATTTAACATGAACATTACAAGACCCCAAGCTATTTTAGCCTTTGTTACATTTAACATGAACATTACAAGACCCCAAGCTATTTTAGCCTTTGTTACATTTAACATGAACATTACAAGACCCCAAGCTATTTTAGCCTTTGTTACATTTAACATGAACATTACAAGACCCCAAGCTATTTTTAGACTTTGTTACATTTAACATGAACATTACAAGACCCCAAGCTATTTTTAGCCTTTGTTACATTTAACATGAACATTACAAGACCCCAATCTATTTTAGCCTTTGTTACATTTAACATGAACATAACAAGACCCCAAGCTATTTTAGCCTTTGTTACATTTAATATGAACATTACAAGACCCCAAACTATTTTAGACTTTGTTACATTTAACATGAACATTACAAGACCCCAAACTATTTTTAGCCTTTGTTACATTTAACATGAACATTACTAGACCCCAAGCTATTTTTAGACTTTGTTACATTTAACATGAACATTACAAGACCCCAAGCTATTATAGCCTTTGTTACATCTAACATGAACATTACAAGACCCCAAGCTATTTTAGCCTTTGTTACATTTAACATGAACATTACAAGACCCCAAACTATTTTAGCCTTTGTTACATTTAACATGAACATTACAAGACCCCAAGCTATTTTTAGCCTTTGTTACATTTAACATGAACATTACAAGACCCCAAGCTATTTTAGCCTTTGTTACATTTAACATGAACATTACAAGACCCCAAGCTATTTTTAGCCTTTGTTACATTTAACATGAACATTACAAGACCCCAAGCTATTTTAGCCTTTGTTACATTTAACATGAACATTACAAGACCCCAAGCTATTTTTAGCCTTTGTTACATCTAACATGAACATTACAAGACCCCAAACTATTTTTAGCCTTTGTTACATTTAACATGAACATTACAAGACCCCAAGCTATTTTTAGCCTTTGTTACATCTAACATGAACATTACAAGACCCCAAGCTATTTTAGCCTTTGTTATATTTAACATGAACATTACAAGACCTGTTGTGCTATATGGGAAACACTTTATATATATATATATAACAAATAAAAAAAGGCAAATGATTTTGTCTCAGTTTATTCACATTATAAGGAGTGTAAATATGAAAGATATCAGATCTATTTTCAATGCAAACATTAACAGCTCATATTATGGTAGTATTCACATTCTCTGAAGTAAAAATATGAAAGAATAACCAGGATCTTATTTCAACATTCATTGGCATTTTAAGAAAAAATATTTTAAAATTAAGTAAAAAAAATGTAATATAGATTATCTATCATATGTTTAAAAGAGAGCATTTTTAGTCATGTAAATACAATAAATTCTATTAATATTCCCTTTGTATAGTGTTAGCTTGCACTAATTATGGAGGCACCAAATCGGCAACTAAAATACATCAAGAAGAATGTCACATGACATTTAACCCCTTCCCCCTCTTGGAATATCTTTAATGCTTTTGGGTATATATATATATAAATATATATATACATGGAAAATAAGCGTCATAAAGTTAATGTCTTTAAAAATTAACAGAAATGAGTCAGTTTATAATAATAGACATGGTTAAGTATGACTTCTGGTCACGAAAGAAGAGTTACTTCCCATGGGGGGAAAAATATTCTGTAGGCACCCAAGGATCTCCCACTTAGCAAAAGTGACCATCAAGTCAATGAAATTTTTTTGCTTAATGTGCGTTAACTATTGGGTCCCCACATACTGAGACTGTTAGTTTTAATCTCTTTTGACTAACAATAAACGGCCAACGAGTAAAGTTTCATTAGAAATAAAAATATATGTACAGAGGCAAATACAAAAATATACTTACATTATAAATGACAGGTTTACAGTAATATTATGCAATTTGAAAAATAAATTAATGCCCAGCAATACAATTTTTTAATGATGAAAGATTATTGATATTAAAAAAATGCTAGTTCAGAAATAGAATAATAATTAAAAACTACACTTATTGTGTAGGCAAAGGAAAGTGGCACTGACATATTTTCAAAGAAATTATACATGGACATGAAAAATTTAAAAATTGATAACTAAAATGGGACATTGATTGAAAGTAATGAAACAAGGTGTCAGACACCATAGGGTCATTGTTAGGGTGTGTGGTTGTCATGTAGGCAGAGGTAGAACATTTGGTCAGGGTAATATCAAATACTGCAACATCAATAATAGATATCAATAACAGGACACAGTGAGTGAGCAGGGTTTCTTTCATTTTTTTTTCTAGGTGGACACTTGGAATTTCCAAGGGAGGGGGCGATGGAATTTTTAGGGGAGGGGGCACTTGAAATTTTTCAGGAGAGGGGTGCTTGAAATTACCAGGGGAGGGGGCACTTGAAATTTTTCAGGGTAGAGGGGTGCTTGAAATTTCCAGGGGAGGGGATGGGGATGGAATTTCCAGGGGAGGGGGTTGGATGGAATTTCCAAGGGAAGGGCCACATGAAATTTCTGTGTGGGCACACAGTGGTTACAGTACATATTTTCTATACAAAGAGCACCGCCTCCCTCCCCCTGGAGAAATGCCTGAAAGAAAATCTCTGTTGTAAAAACGAGGGCCTTTTTTTTAGAGATCAGTGTGTGCTTATGTAATCCAATATATAATATATAAGAATAAAATAATAGAGGAAAAGTAAGGCTTGGCTGATACAAATGACACATAAGCAGAGTTTCTTCCAGGCATCTCTTCAGGGGGGCAAAGCCCCCCCGAAAAATTTTTACCGCCCCCCCCCCCCCCCGAACGAAATGAAATTTATATAATTTATATAGAAAATATATACTTTTAACAGTGTCCGCCCCCCGAAGAAAGTTTACCGCCCCCCCCCCCCGAAGATTTCAAGTGCCCCCCCCCCCCCCCCCCCGGAGATAAAAGTCTGGAAGAAACACTGCACATAAGGCAAAAGAGAAACACATTGAACAATTATGTTCAAGATATGAACAAAACAATTGATGGCATAGAAAACAACACAGTAGAAGACATGGTTATAAGAAAATAACACATAACTGGATACTTAAACCATTTAGGATAAAATATATGCCTACATAAATTAGCATAAATAATACAAGATTGAAAGGAACACATTAAACAACATGACATGACTATAATGTAAACACAATAAATGACATGATGCTAAGGATGTACATATGACAGGTATTATACTAATACACACATATAAAGAAAAAAATTACACAATGCTTATGTAAAATGAAGTACATAATACACATACATCAAGGAAAGCATCACAGAACACACAGACAACATATGGTTGAGCCACATTTGAAAGACATTAAAACATCATTGTGTGTCAGATGAGAGCTTAAACCTGGAACTGAGCTAAAGGGATATGATTGTGTCAGTTGCCTTAGCTTGCTTAAACCTCCACATGTCTGAAGCTGGGAATAGAACTTTTAAAAACAAAAACAGCATTAGCTTAGATTAGTGATGAAGGGTTCAGAAAAAAAACAATCTGTTCTGAAACTTTTAAAAATTTTTTTTCATAAGACATAGCATGATGAGGGGGGGGGGGGGGAGTTTTGAAAAAAATGTGGGCCCATCAAAAGCTATAAGATTTTTTTTTCATATTTGTAACTTTATATTATAGATCTATATAAGTTGTTCTTATTATTTTTTTTATTTCTACATTCCTATAGGCCTATAATTAGGCCAGATCTGTGTAAATCTAGACCCCCCCCCCCCCCCTCTATCTCTTGCTCTTCTCTAAAAAAAAACAAGAAAAAAAAAAGAAAAAAACTTGTTGGGCTAAATTACCCTAAGAAAAGACAACAATGAAGCTTTAAAAAAGACATCACAGACAAATTCAATGTTTTTTTAAAAAATCGGAATGAGTGTAAATAGGTGGAATTTGGTTAACAGTTTTGTTTTTTTGCCGAGGAAGGATATGAAAAAAATGCCCAGGAAAAAAAGGGGGGATTAAATGTTAACATTTAATCGAAAAATTTTCACATTATTGCAAAATATTTTTTTTTTCAAAATTTAATTATATATTTTTAACTTTTGGAGAGAAAAAAAATTAGATTTTGATTTTAATCTAGGTCGTAAGGTCGTAAACAGTGTCTATTTCAGACTTTTTTCCCCGGGTGGAGAGGGGGGGGGGAGGGGCAATTGAAACTTTCCTATATGGGGGGGGGGGGGTGAAATTCGGTAGACGTTCTTGGAGATGGGGGGGGGGGGTAGACGATGCCTGAAAGAAACACTGGTCATGATTCCAAGGTGTCAACTGAAAGGTCTAGCTTTAAACTTCCAACGTGTGAATACATTTTTATTTTCATTTTAAAAAGAATCGAAACTAT